TTTGATCCCCTGTCACCCAGGGAGCACCAGTTCCTTCAAGATTACAGATATACCTTACTGACGAATGTCAAGTAGCACGAAACGCGGGTCCAGGGTTTCTTGCTGACTACTTCCAACCACCATCTTATTTCAGCATAGTGCACGCAATGTCGAGTCACCTAGACTAGTGACCACATTGCAACTTGGTCGATAGCATTCGATCTTCACTAAGGACTCGACACACATGATATTGATCACCACCCAGTGATCAATCAATTGTGACTATAGAAACATGTTAACTAGTAAATAAACACTGAGATGTTCAATGTCCCAGTTTATTCTTCATACATCCTTGGATCAGGTATTCATTAGAGAATGAAAGTTATAGCTTAGACAAAGAAAAGATCTCTCAGGGATTTCGGTAATCGTTTTCTAAAGATCTCTAAAGCTTTATACTTCCGGAGTTTTATGTTCATGAACAAAACTTTTTTGAGCACTGTGGGGTTTCTTAAACTTTTGGGTCTTGGTTTCGAGACATTAAGTTATCAAGTGGAAATCTACTTTCTATATGTATTGTTAGATTTGACTCATGTTTTTGTCAGTTATGTCTTCTATTGGGATTCTTTCATTTCAAGTATAAAAAGAACTCATTAGATATCTCCTCTTATTCGATGGAGCCCAACTTTAGAAATTTGAATATTTACTGCTCTAGGTTGATTGTGATTTCCAAAACATAACTGGTAATAAAATACACTGTTGGGATCCGTCAAGAACTTCGTGATAATTTCTTCAGAATTCCGAGGACAGTTAGTTCAATCGGCATGCTCCACAAAACTTTTAAAGAACTGACAAACTGTTCGTTACTCTGTAATTGAATGGTTACTCACTCTGTTATTACACTTAGCATGGTTCCAGAGGTTTTCAGAGACTAGAATTTAACATTAAATCAACAAATACTCTTATTTCATACACACTAACGAATCTTCTAGTAAAGCTTGTTTTCTTACTTCATACTCTTTACAACCGCTTGTAACTAATGTATCAGATAGTTCTGAGAATCCAGAAGGTAGTTAGGAAGTCAATATAAATCGTTTGAGTAACAGACATTCCAAAAACAACTATATGAAAGCGAGGGCATAGTTGTCATAGACTTTAATTTTCAAATACAGAGTCGTAGGTTTAAGTTTCGCTCATGATATTTTGACTTGGAAGACCAGAGAGTATTACTACCTTTCATTCATAAAGTGTTAGACAAACCAAACACACGAATCTATACTTCATCAGTGAATCACATTTAGTGCGAGATATATGCTAATTGCCCCAAAATCCTCTCGTACGGCCGAGAGTGGGGAGACTCAACTCTCCCTCTAAAAATGCTCTCATACGGCCACGCGTATACAAATGGCATATGAACCAATTATTGGTCACCAACTACTATAGGACTGTATCGCTCTACGTTGCTCCACTGCTTTGTGGATCAGACCTTTAGGTCGGAGGCTCGGGGTGTGGCCCCCTAAGAAAACCACCTGCTTCGGTTTGGGTCACCGGGCAGTATCACAGTCCACACACAAATCAGGAAACTTTTGTGGCGCATATGTATTTGGTGTCCCTTTTCTACCAATATTTATGTGATCAAATAAAATAAACGATCAAAGTTATAAATATCTTAAAATTATTCAGGATACTGTCGGAGGATCGAAACAAAAGAGCTTTAAGTTTCACGACAATCATTTGACAAAGTTTACATACGATGGTTTATGTTTGCGAATTCATTTACATTGTGTTTCAGTTCAAAAGTATCATTCATTTTCATTGATGAGACTTGTCTTACTCTAAACATAACTGAACACTGATGGTCATATTTTGAATTTCCTCACTAGTCAATACATGATTATCATCGTTGTTATTAGCTAAAGTCAATTCATAATCCAACCTTCAAACTATAAACGACCTCCATTAAGCTCTTACAATAAAATAAATATTATTTTTAAAACTTTGAGCTTTATATAGTCATACAAATGACTGAGATCTGTCGGGATTTATTTGTTTATTTCAACACATAAATATTGGTACAAGGATGCACCAAATAGATATGCGCAACACAAATCATTCAATTTGTGTGAGGGCTAGGATACTGACCGGCTACCCAAACCGAAACAGGTGGTTTTCTTAGGGAGCCACAACCGGAGAATTTCACCTAAAGCTCTAATTCACAAGGTAGTAGAGCAACGTCAGGAGATGCAGTCCCATGATAGCCGGTGATCAACAATTGGTTCACACGCCATTTGTTCTCTCAGGATCCTGGAGAACATATGTACCATTGGTTTGGAATCGGAGTTTTCCAAATCTCCTATGTGGATCCTCCATATCCACCAACTCGGTTAAACCGCCGGACATTCGCTTTTCGTCCTCTTAATTTCATAAAAAACGCCACCGCCGCAAGAAGGTAGTGAGTATGACTTTGTGTACATGGCCATGTGAGAGAAAACGTGTAAAATGCAAGAATAATTCATTATTTCCGGCTAAATTTCTTCTAATCTATCAATTTATTCAAGTGAGATAACTTAAAATGGTTTAGTCAAATAGACCACTGATAATAATCAAGATACAAAGTTTAAATTTAGATGAAATGTTGTTAGAAGGAAGAAGAAAAAAAAGGAGAGAGAATTATTGTACTTTGATCATCTATCTTAATTCATTAACTAGTCATCTCTTTAGTTCACAAAATCCATAAAGTCTAATTAACTGGTTATGACTAACTAAAAACAGTATTTTAATTTTGATAAATCTTTAATTAAGAAACCAAGCCCCTATGTACGTTAATTTATTGCTAAATAGTAAATATCATTTTTTTAGTCTTGTCTAAAACTGGTCGAATTCTGTCAATCAGGTTGCGATATGGCGACAAGTCAAAATAAATCGACATGGTATTAGTTGCTTTTTTATATCTGTTAGTTAAACAGAAGCTTTACTTACGGTAGACTTGTAATTATAAGGGAACATGCCTTCCCTGAGGGAATCGAACCTGGACCATATAATTTCACAATGTGAGACGTTACGTTACGTTTAGTATTAAAAAGGTGCGATAACAATTAAATAATAGTCAGGCAAATATACAATATAGTCGACCAAAACAAAGTTTATGACCCTTAGCGTTTGTAATAAGGAAATATTTGTCGTTAGCTCTTATTTAGAATTGTGGCATTATATTCATCATCGGAGATTTACAATAAATGACATAGTTGAAAGCCGTTTCGTGATTTTCTTTTCAGTAGTTTGTACCAACTTGCGTGACTAAAAAAAGTCTTATCGTACACTAATATTATGAAAATAAATTGATAGTAACAGGAAAGTAGGAACACAATGTTTTAATATGTTTTCGAGTAACTTGTTAGTATACTGATTCAACCGCAAATGAAATGAGCCATAGTACCATTAATTGTTTAGGAGGACATGATTTGTTTCAGCCATGTATATTAAATTCAGTGGTGTGTATGCCAGATATATGAAGTCAAACCTTCAGGAAAATGAAACACATGCAATTTTCGCCTTTCATGGGTCGTAGAAGCGTGTTTTTTTATTTTTCCATCATTCATTATTTTCAAGTTCTACTGAGAAGTCAGCCTTTTAAATAACCTAATTATGTACCATTGTTTAGCTTACATTAAATAAAAAAGATATAGGATTGGTTCAACAACTTAAAGTTATCGTATACCTACAAATATTTTAGCAGTATTTACATTACAGATGATCCAAATATGAATGTTCTAAATTAACTTATGTCAGGAATTAACTGCAGTTTATAAATATATCTTTTTATGGCTTTAAAACAATATGTTCAAGTATCAAGTAATCAGTGATGTCAAATAATTCTTGTAGCTACTGGATATCAGATGAAACTTAAGTTCACTTATAAACTTTGAACAGAACAACTAATAAATACCAATACGAACTTTTAAAACAACTACTTTGTTTAAAAGATCATAACTTTTGACATACAAAGTCGGTTGAAATGGAGGAGCTATTAAGGTTATATTTAGGACGATAATTGTTATTGTGTAAACTAATCTACGATACTCGTATAGTTGTGTTAATTAATCATAATTTCCATGAACAGCAGAAATTTAACGTACAACTTGAGATGGTTTAGTGTAAACAGTTTTTTGCGTTCATTAATACCTTAAGAAAGCTTTGTATATCTATATATAAGGGAATATTATAGTCCATTTTAATGGACAAGTGACGGATATGGGATATATACTTTATCATCTATTTAAAAGTTACTCAAGAGTACGACTATATTAGAAAGCGATGTCAAAATATGACAGTAAATCTAATTATGGCCTTTTCATCGACTATACTACAAAGATATCTTGTACATATTACAAGCCAAAATAGAGTATAGACGCGACCAAACACAATACCATACTTATGAATCACATATTAAAGAATCAGATAAATGAGAAACTGATGATTTTTATCTATATACAACTAACGAGCAATCACAGTATGAAAATGAAGATTCTCATTTTAAGGAATAAACAAATTTATTTACCACAAAGATCAATGTATTTTCTCTCAGTACTGTGGCATTTACTAGTTTGAAAACTCTATTCACGTCAATTGGCCACAAAATAAGGAAACCTTTTGACTAAAAAACACTCGATACACGATTACATTTCAGAAATCGCACTGATCAAAGCTGAATAGTTACGTAGAATTCCTAAGGCCAGACCCTCATCCTTAGCATTGAAGCTATTAAGCTTCATTCGTCGATACTTGCACAAATAATGCTGTATGTGCATATGTATCAGAAAACGAATTTATGAAGATAATTGTAAACCCTGCATGTGAAACAAACTACGGTTTGTACATAATAACTGAACTAAATCACAAACACAATATCGTAAAATTTGCAAACGGTCGACTAAGTGTAGCTGTCGAATATCGGGAGTAAGCTCCATTAACTTCAAATACTTTAAACATTTGAACACATTAAAATTTGCATTGAAAGTACATACGCCGAAGTTATAGCCCGATATCTCTCCTGACCAGCTGTGTCCCATATTTGAGCCTTAACAACTTTTCCGTCAACTTTGACATTCCTTTGAATTATTATTTCTAAATTTCATCTATTTACTTTGTGGCGAAATCAACACCAATCGTGCTTTTACTTTCAAGATTAAACTCATCATTTGTGAAACGCGAACGCAAATTTGTTTTTCCAACTCCTGAATCACCTATCAAAACAACTGTTAAAGTGAAAAATGCTAAATTTCCATCTCACTTTTGAAAAGTAAACCCATATGTGAGTCCCTTCTCATGATTATAAACGAATACTTAAAAAACCAACTTGACTATGACCTTGATTTTCGAAGCCTTCAAACGAAAGTATAATTCAGTAGGCGAATTAGTTGTGCTGATCTACTATAAACTAGTTTATACCTTTCGAGTCTCTTCTAGGCATAAGAATATTGTCAGAACATTTTGATTTGGTTCAGTGTGAGCAGTCTACTTAAAAGCACAAGGACTAGAGAATTCGATAAAGGTCAGTGAATCTTTAGTATAATGAATCCTTTTATTCTACAGCTGAAAAGTTCTACAAACACCAGTTATCACACTTAAAAGCAGTCAGCCTGTTACCTGGATTGTGGGAATCCTTAGAATCTGAATAAAAAGACGAGTGTATGCGGCAAATAAATATGTTAATCATTGATTAGACAAGTAAAAGAGTAAAGAAATAGGAAAAAGCTGAACAGAGATTCTAGAGAGAAAGATGTTTCTGATGGGTGATAATCCTGCAATTATTGAATTATAATAATGGAGAAAGTTCAAGCGTTACTGGCTTCTTCACCATTTGAATAAAGATTCCAACAACATTTTGTGTTTTAAGGCGCGAGACGACTTAGTACGTAAATGGGGCCGAGAAGAGAACAGATAAGATCAAGCCTAGTTAACTTCAAACGTGGGGAAGAATGATGTAAGCTTCTGTTGCATCGCCGCAAAAGTTGTCCTCAGCTGTCAAATTGTGCTTCTTCATAGCTCGATATTGCGTCTAACTCTTAGGCCGTTGTTGTATCTTCATTCTAAGGACATAACTAAGTCCTCTTGGAGCCCTTGTGAATCGTCTTTCTGTTTAGTAGTTTGCTGCTGTCCATATAGATGAGAACTGATGACCTGAAGTTTCTTGACATAACCTTAATGAACGTAAGATCAGTGGAATTTAAGTAAAGCTCCTTATGATTATCCGGACATTAACGCTATGCGATTTGAGTAAATTCCGTTTACTTTCATGTAGAACGACCGCTTTTGCACAAAATCATTTCAACAGAAAGGGAATAAATATCGGAACTTATCTGTTTTGTTAAGGCTAAGAGGACAGTGTGAGTTACACTGCCAAAAACTTTCGAGAAGTTGGGGCACTGTGCATTCATGGAGAGCCTTTGATTCTATAAACCTGGCCTACTGTTTCGCTATAGTAAGGTGTTTGTGCTATAAGTTTCGCTTTCTCTGAAGTCATGTCGTGCTACATGGAAAATCTTGTTCTGCTTAATAGACTTCCTCATCTGTTCATCCACGAGGCTTTGCAATAGCTTAAATGGTAGTTGAAGCAGTGCTACTAGTCTCCTGTCATTCGAGCAAAATCCATAACTTTTATTTTAAGTCGGAGAGAGGAATGTTTTTTACTACTCTTTTAGTAACTATCTAAAGTGAGGACACATAAGTAGATTTTTAACTAATTAATGGGAGAAATCAGTGTGGGCTTTCAGCATTATCAATAATAAAACAAAGAATTTAACATGTTTTAAATTAAAAAGGCAAGTCAGTAGTGTAATGCCTCTGTAGTTTTCACACTTGCTCAGATCTCCTTTCTTTGGAATCTTGATGAGGTGTCCTTCTTTCCAATCCATCGGCACTTGTTCCTCGATAAGTTTAGGTGTTTATTATTTTAGGAATTAGATACTATTAAACAATAAGAGAGAAATGGATTGAATTTTGTTTACAATTGATTGGTCATTACTTATTTATGCTTGTTACCCCTTATGGAGAAGCATAGATCGTTTATCAGTATTCTCCATCCAACTGTGTACCGGTCAGTTGCTATTCATCCTTTTCATGTCTGCTTCAAATTCCCGACTCAGTATGTTCTTTGGTATTTCACTTTTTTATTTCATTCCAGGATTCCAAGTTTTGGCTTGCCTCGTGATGTAGTTTGATGATTTCCTTAATGTTTGTCCTATCCACCTAAATCGTCTTTTCCTGATTTCCACCTCAGTTGGAAGTTGGTTTGTTGTGTTGCACAGCAGACTGTTGCTGATGGTATCCGGTCAATGGACATTCAGTATCTTACGTTGTGAATTGTTTACAAGTACATGTACCTTCTTGATGATGATTGTGTTAGTTCTGTGAGTTTCAGCTCCGTATAGTAGAACTGTCCTGACTCTCGTATTGAAGATTGTGACTTTGATATTGGTTGACAGATTGGTGTTTTGAGTTCCATATATTCTTCAATTTTAGTAATGCTGTCCTTGTTTTGTCAATCGTCGCCTTTAGGTTTGTATCGGATCCTTCATATTCATCGATGATGCTACCCAGACACGTGAAAGATTCCGTGTGATTTAGAGTTTCTCCATCAAATGTGATTGAATTGATGTTTTTCGTTCAGTATTTGAGGATGTTAGTTTTTCCTTTGTTTATGTTGAATCTTACTTACTTACTTACTTAAATGACTTAACATTATGGTTACTATATTAAGTTATGTTAAATAATGATTGAAAGTAGTTAGTAGAAAATGATAAACCTAAATTTTGCACAGGTTAAACTTATTAGCAATTTGCTAAATAACTAACGGTTGATGTGTTAGCACACTTGAAAGAAATCTGTATTATTCTTTCTTTATTCTTTCAAGGAAATAATAATAATGAACATCTTACTTAAATTCACATGGTTTTGTTTTACTTGAATCTTCCCATTGATGTTTCGGACTGAAATTGACCAGTCTCTTAATGGCATATGTGTATACTGTGCGTGTTGCCTTGATATAGCCTTAGTTCACAAGCTTTATATAAAAAGATGAATAGTGGCTAGTAGTGGAATCCAAGACGCCCGTTTCGTTCTATTTGAGACTTGTCAGCTAGATGAACCTGCACTTCAGAGTTGATGCTCACTCTGTGACTCAAACTCAGTACCGTTCGCTTCAAGCACTATCACGTTATCCATTTAGCTACAGAGTCCTGATAGCCAGTTTGCTTGTGCAATAGGGTGAATTTTACACTCACTTGGTATTGTTTATTTGGATCTTTCCATTGATGTTTCGGACTGAAATTGACCAGTCTCTTAATGGCATATGTGTATACTGTGCGTGTTGCCTTGATATAGCCTTAGTTCACAAGCTTTATATAAAAAGATGAATAGTGGCTAGTAGTGGAATCCAAGACGCCCGTTTCGTTCTATTTGAGACTTGTCAGCTAGATGAACCTGCACTTCAGAGTTGATGCTCACTCTGTGACTCAAACTCAGTACCGTTCGCTTCAAGCACTATCACGTTATCCATTTAGCTACAGAGTCCTGATAGCCAGTTTGCTTGTGCAATAGGGTGAATTTTACACTCACTTGGTATTGTTTATTTGGATCTTTCCATTGATGTTTCGGACTGAAATTGACCAGTCTCTTAATGGCATATGTGTATACTGTGCGTGTTGCCTTGATATAGCCTTAGTTCACAAGCTTTATATAAAAAGATGAATAGTGGCTAGTAGTGGAATCCAAGACGCCCGTTTCGTTCTATTTGAGACTTGTCAGCTAGATGAACCTGCACTTCAGAGTTGATGCTCACTCTGTGACTCAAACTCAGTACCGTTCGCTTCAAGCACTATCACGTTATCCATTTAGCTACAGAGTCCTGATAGCCAGTTTGCTTGTGCAATAGGGTGAATTTTACACTCACTTGGTATTGTTTATTTGGATCTTTCCATTGATGTTTCGGACTGAAATTGACCAGTCTCTTAATGGCATATGTGTATACTGTGCGTGTTGCCTTGATATAGCCTTAGTTCACAAGCTTTATATAAAAAGATGAATAGTGGCTAGTAGTGGAATCCAAGACGCCCGTTTCGTTCTATTTGAGACTTGTCAGCTAGATGAACCTGCACTTCAGAGTTGATGCTCACTCTGTGACTCAAACTCAGTACCGTTCGCTTCAAGCACTATCACGTTATCCATTTAGCTACAGAGTCCTGATAGCCAGTTTGCTTGTGCAATAGGGTGAATTTTACACTCACTTGGTATTGTTTATTTGGATCTTTCCATTGATGTTTCGGACTGAAATTGACCAGTCTCTTAATGGCATATGTGTATACTGTGCGTGTTGCCTTGATATAGCCTTAGTTCACAAGCTTTATATAAAAAGATGAATAGTGGCTAGTAGTGGAATCCAAGACGCCCGTTTCGTTCTATTTGAGACTTGTCAGCTAGATGAACCTGCACTTCAGAGTTGATGCTCACTCTGTGACTCAAACTCAGTACCGTTCGCTTCAAGCACTATCACGTTATCCATTTAGCTACAGAGTCCTGATAGCCAGTTTGCTTGTGCAATAGGGTGAATTTTACACTCACTTGGTATTGTTTATTTGGATCTTTCCATTGATGTTTCGGACTGAAATTGACCAGTCTCTTAATGGCATATGTGTATACTGTGCGTGTTGCCTTGATATAGCCTTAGTTCACAAGCTTTATATAAAAAGATGAATAGTGGCTAGTAGTGGAATCCAAGACGCCCGTTTCGTTCTATTTGAGACTTGTCAGCTAGATGAACCTGCACTTCAGAGTTGATGCTCACTCTGTGACTCAAACTCAGTACCGTTCGCTTCAAGCACTATCACGTTATCCATTTAGCTACAGAGTCCTGATAGCCAGTTTGCTTGTGCAATAGGGTGAATTTTACACTCACTTGGTATTGTTTATTTGGATCTTTCCATTGATGTTTCGGACTGAAATTGACCAGTCTCTTAATGGCATATGTGTATACTGTGCGTGTTGCCTTGATATAGCCTTAGTTCACAAGCTTTATATAAAAAGATGAATAGTGGCTAGTAGTGGAATCCAAGACGCCCGTTTCGTTCTATTTGAGACTTGTCAGCTAGATGAACCTGCACTTCAGAGTTGATGCTCACTCTGTGACTCAAACTCAGTACCGTTCGCTTCAAGCACTATCACGTTATCCATTTAGCTACAGAGTCCTGATAGCCGTTTGCTTGTGCAATAGGGTGAATTTTACACTCACTTGGTATTGTTTATTTGGATCTTTCCATTGATGTTTCGGACT